ATTTGACTTCTTTAATCTTGAATTTAAAAAAAAAAAATGATTCCAACAAGGTTTTCCTCTTTTTTCTTTTTTCTTTCTTTTTTCTTTGAGTTCGTGATTTTGAATTTTCCAAAGACGAACGTGATTCTTAAACGTTTTTTTTTTTTTTTTTTAAATAATTTACGAAATAAGAGTTTTTTCTAATGGAGGAACAATGATCACGATTCTTGAAAATAAACTTATTATGTCTAATAATAGTTGAACGCATAAAGCCGGAGGGCAAAAAGTTGTTTGATCGTCCATATATGCTTCCATATATGCTTCTTGAGAGTGACATAAAAAAAATAATTGATATAAAACTATACCACCGTAAACGCTAACAAAAAAAAAAATTGCACCCATTACGGTTGTTATGGGAAATACGGAACTACCCACAGAACACACCAACAAACCAAATTCGCAGATTTTTAATTTTTTTGCCCAGGGTATGAATTGTCTAGAGGGTGATATAAAAGATATTGAAATCAATACGAAAAGTATAAGAAAAGTTAAATGAACGGCAAGGTTTAGGGTGTTGAAATCAAAAAGAAATACAGGGGATGCTAATCCACCGAGGAAACAACAATAATATATCCACGCCAATTTTTGCGGACTGAAAAATTCCGTAGAATCGAGAGTTCTGAATATTTCGCCATGTTGTACAACGGATTCGACTACAAAATCAATTATAACCATTAAAAAACTTGAAAAAAGTGCAAATAAATTTTGATTCGAATAAACGAATATCGCGGATACAATGCATATATATATGGAAGCAAATAAATACGTGTACGTTATTTCGATGTTGCTTTTAGCTTCGAGTGACCATCTTTGAGAATTTATATTTCTTAATACGTTATCTTCGTTCGGACATATAAATATGTAGCAAAACAATATAAAAAGTTCAATTAGTGATACGAATAATAATGCTATTGATCCGATTGAAAAAACAATATCCGCGTTTGAAAAATGTATTTCCTCTTCTTTAGACATCGGCAAAAACAATTTTCTTTTGATTTTATTTTCATCAAATGCATTTTAAACTAAAAAAACCGATTTCAAATGGAAATCAATCGAAATCAATATTCATTCACACCGTAATTTATCTTTACAAAAAAAAAAAAAAAAACAAAAAAAAAACAAAAAAAATTTCGTTAAAAATATTCAAAAAAATCCAAAAACTTAAACCATTTTTATTATATATTTGTTTTTATTATTTTTATTAACAATGTTGCCAAATCGATTTTTTATTTAACGTATATATTTTTTAAAGAAGGCTGTGAAATTTTGAAAAGGCGGCCATTTTGGTAACTAATCATTTGCTTAATTCGATCAGTTGAGTGAAATCGATAATAATATTTAAAAAATCGTTTTTAAGAAGTGTTTAATCAAATAAAAACCGTTAAGTATTCTTTTCTTTTTTAAATTTAAATTAAAAATTATAATTAAAACGCGAAAATAGCATAAATTTACACGAAATATATAAAAAAAACAATATTTAAGCCGTTAAAACCGTTTTCGTTATTATAATACAAGCCAATAAACACTATTTTTTAAAAAAAATAAATATTTTTCTGTCATTGAAGGTAAACGTGACACTAAAAACAAAAAATTCAATGTTAAGGTCTTGTACTTAAACAAGGCATACAACCAATTAAAAAAAAAAAAAAAACATTACGAAAAAAAATTCCCTCCCCCCCTCACACACACACACATAATAGTTTAAATCGATTATTTATCGTTAAAATTTTAAAATTTATCCTTAAACTTTTTTCTTTTTTTTTCCATCGGTCGATTTTATCTTTTTAGAAAATTTAAATAATAATAATAATAATAGTAATAATAATAATAATAATAATAATAAAAAACAATATTCTTCTTTATTAATTTAAACAATAAAAAAAAAGAATATTTTATTACCGTATAGAAAAAAAAAAAAAAAAAAAAAAACATATTCGCGTTTAAATGTTTCCAGTCTTCCTTGATTTTTTTGACCCGTTAACAAAAAAAAAAGCAGACGATTTATTTAAAAAAATAAAACATTAATTATTATTAAATCGATTTATTAAAAAAACCTTTTTTCTAACTCGCAAAAAATATTATTATAATTTATTAAATAAAAAAAGTTTGGTTTTCGAGACGGTTTAAGTGGTTTTTTTTTTTTTAACTAATGCCACGTTTTTTTTTTTTTTCGGGAGTACGAAAATTTATATCAAGAAAGTAAAATTTTATGTACTCATTTTAAACGGAAATAATTTTAATTTATTTATTTGTCAATAAAAATATCGTAAAATTAATAAATATTCTTCAATTTTTGTTTGTTATGAAAAATAAACAATTTCCGCATTGATTAGTAACGTCATTACTCTTTAAATGTAAATAAAAATCGGGATTTTGTTTTTTTATTTTTTTTATTTTTTTTACGTCAAATCGGAAATTATTTATTTATTATTATTATTATTATTTTTTTCCCTAATTCGAAAACATTCGGTTTTTTATATATATTTTTAACCGTTAAATAAATAATGATGATGATGATTGTGATGGAAATTGCTAAAAACGAGTTAGAAAGTTTGTTTTTTTTTTTTTTTTTTAAACAAATTCACGTAATATTTGCAAAAAAAAATTTAAATAAAAAATTTAAATAAACCGAAAAGAAAACAAACTACATTATTATTATTATTATTATTATTATTATTCATTTATTTAACGATCCAGACTCAGTCAGTCAATCAGTCAGTGAGTTAATTTAATCATTTTTAATTTTTTTTTTTTTTTTTTTTAAATTCTTAATTAATGTCGACGATAAGTGTTAAAACGTTATCATTTTTTATATAATAATAATAATAATAATAAATTTTGATCGAAACCGCGGGGAGAGAGAGAGAGAGAGAAAAAGAGAAAAACCGTTAAAAATCATTCATTTTACGTATACAAACGTAACAATTTTTTTTCCGTTAAATTCTTTTTTTTTTTTTTATAACAATAAAGTAATAATAATAATAATAAAAGAAAAGGAGAAAAAAATGTCTTAAATCCATTATATTATATTTACCAATCTAATGTAATAATAATAATAATAATAATAATAATAATAACGGTAAAAAATTGACACTTTGTTATTTTCACGTACGTATTAAAACTCTCGACGTCGCCATTTTTTTTTTTTTTTTTTTTTTGTTTAAAGGATTTGATTAAGTAACAACACGTTTTCCGTTTTTTTTTTTTTTTTTTTTGTGATACAACAACAATAACAACAACAACAACAACAATTCTTTTGTTTATAACAAAATTCAATTAATTGGTTCGATTTATTATTATTCCCAAAACATTTGGCGATTTCAAAAAAAAAAAATTCAAACGTCGTTAATTTTATTATTATTATTCCCGGGTAATTTTATATACTCCGCCATCTTTTTTTTTTTAAAAATATTTTTAACGTTAAAAAATTTATTTATTTTAATTAATTAATTAAAGATGTTTTACAATTATTAATATTATTATCATTTGTTTTTTATTATCAAATTTTTTTTTTTTTTTGTATTATGAAAATTATTTATTAAATAAGTGAAAGTTTATTTTTTGATTAATAACAACATAAATAAATAAATAAATTTAATACATAAACGTGAGAATCTTGTTTAATTAATAATAATAATAATAATAATAATAATAATAATAATCTGTTTTTAACAAGTGAACAAAAAAAAAAAAAAATTGTTTTTTTTTTTTTTCTGACACAAAAAATTTAAATTCATGTAACGAAACCAATAAAAATTATT